TGCCACACTTTGCTACCACCCTCCTCCTGCAAGAGGATTTAGAACATTTGGAGGCCGAGTTGACCAAGACAGTGGATGCAGCCACGGAGCTGGCAGTGATGGAGCTCTTGGAAAAGGTGTCCCACACCAAACGCCGTTGGATGCCTTTCCTTCGCTGGCACTTTGCGCTGGAGGGCACCGGCGCAGCTGCCTGCGTCTTTGCGATGCTGTGGTTCTCCTTGCATACGGCCTCCTTCGCAGAGACCGACTCAAGGCTAGGTATGATCCTGATTCCTGCCATGCTGTCTGGGCCTTTACTGGCAGTGTATGTTTTGGTGCAGGTCTTATCGCTGGCGAGATTTAATGGTCACATCCAAACATGCATACAGACTACAAGTAGCAATTGCTTGTTCAGGTTGCTCTCCCAGCAGGAGAAACAGCTGGAATTTTGTGTGCTTGGAATCACCATCACTCTTGGAAAGATTCGTGCTGTAATGACCTCAGTGGTCATCAGTGCATGCAGCAAGATCGTGATGTCTTTGGTCACTCGCTGAAGGGAGATGGCATGCGGCATGAACAGCAAAGGCTCTGAGGGGTTCTCACTTCTTGTATCGAGGACACATCGTGGGCGAAGAAGTGAGAACCCCATCAAAGGTGAGAACACTTTCTTTGCTTGAAGTGAGAACCCCTCTGAAGTGATTCTGCTTTGCTTGGGCCAAGAGTCGCTCTTTTAGACATGACATGAAGACCGCTTTAGCGAGCGGCAGGCCAAAGGAGTCCGATGTGGCTACGGTTCCCAGCCGTCCGCTCCACGGACCGTCCACTTTTGACGGTCCGCGCAACCGGGGTCACTGACGACGTGCTTTCCCCGCGACCATGAGGCTGGTAGATGACAGGATCAATCCTGTTCCCCAGCCTGGAGGAATCCCGATGGCACCAGGATCGGGATCCTTTCACCGGGTGAGGCCAACTCGCAAAGTGAGAAGCAAAAAATAGATCTTGCGAGAAGCTCGCTGAAGGGTTGTGGAAGGCTTAGATGCGCTTATAGTATCTAGATCGGAATCCGGAGTGTTTCTCGAATTGATGATGCTTAAATTTGTTATGTTTAAGTATCAGGACATATTAGGACCAAGGACCATTCTCAGTCGTTCTCTCAACATGAACATCCAGCACAGTCGGCAAGCCAGGCCCCTCGATCCCCCGAGGCGGACCGTGGGCGATGTGGAAATGGAAGAACCGTTTGTTTGGTCATACACTCCCTGGACCTCAGAGGACAAACAGAGAGGTTGGTCATACACAACTTGGAGGACAAACATAACAACATGAGAGAGAGAGGTTCACCAAACTGATTGCGTTGGTTTTTGGATATCACTCCAAACTCATCCTTGTGCACCCTCCTAAAACTAGCGCAGACATGAAGGGCTCATGCAGATCTCATGTTGCTTTTGATTGGCAGGGAGTACAGGAATAGTATGGAACAGTCATAGTCCTTTAGTTCATCATGGTCATTATACGTGTTCCTGGGTGCTTTCCTGTTCAAGCATACTAGTTTTAATGGAGCGCAACTCTTTCCCAAACATCAACTTGTGGTCATAATGTGAATTGATTGGGGTCGTTACGCCCTGGAAGAGACCCACATGGAACCTGAAAACCACGTCGGGGCATAGTGAAAAATCATCTTCCAGTCTGGTCCATGCCATCAGGTTCCATGTGGGTCTCTTCCCACAAGAATTTCAGGAGATAGGGTGGAGGCCATCGCTAGGAGCTTGGAGGCCATCGCTACTAGGTGTCGTTCAGGTTCCATGTGGGTCTCTTCCCGGGTGTAGCGACACTCCGGGGTCGATCTTCAGCTTCCCCAGCTTCTTCGCGAGGCTCGCTCGCCCGAGGCAGGTGGTGGTGGGTGTTAGGACGTCGTCTATCAGTTTAGGTTGCTTGTGAAACACCCAGTGCCGATATGGAAACGTGTTGGAGTGGAACATGTTTCACATATGTAACATGTTCACATGTTTGTTTGGGTATCGGGGCCGGGGCGAAGTGTCATTTTTTCCATGTTGGCCACTAGGGTTGGTTAGAAGAACCTGGGATATGTTGCCATCAATGATTGCCATGAGGACACCCACTTAAGCCACTTGGAACCCAAAGGCTATAAACTTGCAAGAAGGCGGTGCAACAAACCATGTCTTGGCAACTCGAAGCAGCAAGCAAATACGGGCCAGGAATACTGCAAGTTTGCCCCCCCATACTTCGTAAATCCTTTGATGCGCCAGACATTCATGCCCGAAAATGGTAAGCCTTGAACCATTCCAAACCTAAACCAACATGCAATCGCCTTCTGAGAAGGTACTTGGATCCCTAGGGGGTGTTTGGAATGGGCCTTCTTGCACCTCGACCTGTTCCCGCACGAAATCATCGGGGCTGACCTGCCAGGTGGCGCGATCTCCCGCCAAGGCACCGCTTCTTTTGTTGACCGACCGGGGGGGCATTGGAGCGACTCCGTGGCGGGGAGGAAGGGACCAGAAGTGGGCGCGGTTTGGAGGAGCAAGTCTCCTGACAGAATATCTGAGAGCAGGAATCCCAAGAATGGACTCCAGTCGAGCCCAAGTTGTTGTGAAAGTCTTTGCGGGCCTGAGCTTGCCTGTGATTTTTGTTTGTTTGTTTCGGCAGACTCGGCAGTTGATTCGTTTTTGATCCAGAACATGGCGTGTACTGCTTGAACTCAGGGCACATCGCAAAGCAGCTTGTGCTGCCATCAACACTTCCAAAGCGAGTGCAACTGGTGACTGGTGCTTGCAAGGCCGAGTCACGGTCCAACACTTATAGATCGCTCACTCACCTACCTTCTCAGGGCCCAGCGTAGCCGTCACGATCCTTGCAGCTTTGGCCTCCCCAAACCAGCAGCTTCGATCCTCAGACCCGATTCCCATCCGTTTTGGCTGATCAGGTGATGTGGCGTTCTCTATAGCCCCATATGGAAGAATCCCCGGCCCTGGTGGAGACCTGTGTTCTTGTTTGTTTCTTTCTCCCGGTTCTGTTTCCATCGGTTTTCCTTCAAAATCTCACTGCTTTTGCTCCAGTTGGGCCGCTTCAGGAGGTCTCTGTGCCAACACCACAGAAGCCGAGATCTTTCGATCCGCCCGGAGAGCCCAGAGGACGAAGCGGTTCGGCGGTTCGATCCAGCTCCCAGTTGTTCTTCGAAGTGTTCTTAACCTTCAAAATCTTCTGAAACGACATTTAGTGGCATGGTGTCCCAAGTTCAGGTGCATGCTGCGAGATTCAAAACATATGTTGGAAAACAGTTGTTGTTTGTTTCCATGTTCTTTTTCCTCCAGGGGCTTCTGTCAGGGGCTTTTGGGGCAGCTGTCTCCTTCTGCATTTGGGCAGCACTTCTTTCACCGACTTCCGGCACCGTCCTCCCACTCCTCAGGGGGCGCAACAATGCCTTCACGCCTCCAGTCCGGCGGGTCAGTCCGACGGGGAAGTGATGCTGCTTCCGAGACGGAAGCGATCCATGGATTTGGGGGGGCTACCGAGCTCGACCGGGATGCCAGAAACGTCCATTTCCAACCTGATGCTGAAATCCCTCCCCTCCAAACAGTTCGATGCAGCAAACAGAGTGTTTAAGACTTGGGTGGAGAGTATCAAGATCATTGATCGTCATTCATCATCCGAGAATTGAGTTGGGGTGGCAAGGCGTGGTCGGGTGTTCAGCACGCTTTTGTGATCATGGACTCACAGCAGTTCAGCCCAGATGTTTGCTGTTTGTGTTATCGCACCCAGTTCCGCACTGGTGAAACACCTGTTGTTGGGCTTAGGGGGAAACACGTCCGAGGTGAGTCACACGAAAAGCACTCAGCCTCGGAGGACCTATCATCCTTGCGTCTCAGTTTTGAACCCAAATCATAATCTCACGGATGCCACTTCTATAGGGACTTGAATGTCGTGTCAAATCTCTACCTGGACCTTCCCACAGGTGTCCCATGGAGGCCCACAAGTTGTGTAGGGTATTCCATTGGAGACCCCATTCAAAGGTGTGCTATTATATATTCATGATTTTCTATGACACACATTGCATACAAACACAATGTGCGCTCAGCCATTTTTTGGACTCAATTCCTGCTTTCCGCCACAGATGTTCAGTGTGAGGATGCCTCGTTTTCCTGTGATGGCGCTCGTTTTCGCACTGCCGGCTGCAGCGGCTGTGTTTGTGCCAACTGTTCGAATTGGCCCTAACAAAGATGTTGAGATGCAAATGATAGCTGCTGGGCAGAAACAGGCCGAGGAGCTTGCCAGGGGCAGACTGCAGGTATAGAATTGAATAGCATACTGCACAGAGTGTTTGGGGGGGAAGTTCATTGTTGAGTCGGAGGGTGCTGTGAGAAATACATTTGGCAGTTGGATGGCAACATAAGGTAGGCTGTTGATTAACAGAGCCTCCTCCATATGGAGATGGAAAAGCATTCTTTAAGGTGTTGTCACGTGTCATTACTCTCTATATATATATATATATAACCAACCGTCCACATGACATGGCAACCGCACATGACATGCCAAGTTCCCCCCCAGTCATCCCTGTCTACCCCACACACTACATGGACTGTTGGAACAGTCCAAGTGGGTGGGGACTCAGAGAGCCCCTGCTCGGACCCTGGCAGACCTCGCAAAAGAATGCCAAAGAGACCTTTGATTCACCATGAAGACCAGCACTTTTATTTGACAAGTCAATCCTATGGCCACATTTGTGTGTGTGCGTCAAGATTGCAAGTGCCTTTGATCGGGTCAAGGTAGGGATAGACTAATAGGTGTAGAATGTAGAAACTGGATCAAGCATTAGAAAGACCACAAAGAGGATAAACAAATACATGATGGGCTGCATAACTCAACTAACTCAATGTAAAGATTGAACGCCCCACTTCAAAAAAATGAACACACAACCCTTTGCATCCCCCTTTTATGGTGTTCTGCCCGAGGCGTTCGGGACGTATCGGCACTCCTTGACCAGCTGCGATGTGATCTCGGGAGTCATGCAGTGGTTGGAGCTCGGCGGTCGGCACATCGACGCCTCGGCCCGCAGAGAGATGTTCGCATCGTCGGCGCCCGAGGAGTCCGGATGTCTCGGGAGGTTCGACCTAAAGAGACGGGAGTGAAAGGAGTGGAGGATAGGGAGGCAGGTGGAGGACCAGGAGTGGAGGATGGGAGGCAGGAGGCCAAGTTTGGAGACCAGGACCAGAACTTTCAGCCTTTGGAGTTGAGAAGTTTTCCCTCGACGGATGGGGGATGGGTTCGACGGATGGAGAGGTTCCCCTCTCCAGGTGGGTGACTGTCGCCCCTTGTGGCCGACGGGAAGACAGCCAAGGACACAGCACACGATTATGGAACTGAGCCGGACGTGGGAAAGGCGATTCGTTTGTCCAATGTCACTTGGCAAAAGGTGATGCGTCTTTTGTGTTTGTTAATTTCACATCCTTCGGCCAGGTCCGCCGCCCCACCAAGCGTTTGGATTGAACAAAGCTGTGGTTAGGTATGAACACAACAACAACAACAACAACAACAACAACAACAACAACAACAACAACAACAACAACAACAACAACAACAACAACAACCAAAACAGAAACAGAAACAGAAACAAAAACAGAAAGAAGAAGAACAACAAGAACAACAACAGCAACAACAATAACATCAATAGCAATAGCAACAGAGGAGGGGTGAAGTCAGCGAAACGAAAATTCTTCCAAGGACAAGGTCAATATCTTTACAAGCAACCTTCCACAAGACACGCCTTGCCTTTGCACGTGGCAGAGGGTCAGCGGATTAAGTGTTGGTCCGCCAAAAACTTGTTGACCTGCCTTGTACATGTTTTTGGTTCCCTCCGCTTCTTGCTTCCAAGAATGCAATATATTGAGTTCAATTTTAATTTATAGCTGTTCCAAATATAGTTTCCATCATATTTTGCATCTAATCACAGTGAATTCGAGGAGGATCAGACTTCGCTGAGGAGAATAGAATCCTCGAGAATCCTCTCACAAAGCCAAGGTTCCCCGCAAGGAGATTTTCATAACCACGAAGATCCCTGGGCCCATCGGCAGGGACGCCGTAAAGACTTTGGTGCTGAATGAGACTTTGCAGCAAACACAGCGAGACAGTGTTCAGCGTCACTTCACCTGGTGCCCCTGGCGCCTGAAAAAATTCTTGTGCAAATGGGGTATCATGTAGCTCGTGTGATCTCGTGTAAGTTGGACCATTTTTGGAAATGCACACTTGGTGGTAGATTGTCATACCGCCGAGTCTCTCTTTGTCATCACATGTATCTACAGGTGTGGGTGTGATATTACAATTGAGGTCGACTGAGCGCTGGGTATTCACCAAGCATTTCACGGGTTGGCTTGCAGGCCTTGACATGGGATCCTCCTTCAGCTCACTTGTAGCGGGCTAATTAGAGGAAGTAAAGGATATTGAAGAGATGAGCACCGTCATCTCGGAGCCTCATTAGCCTTGGCAGGTTTGCATGCTGGTATTGCGAGCATCGCATAAACTAGAACCCAATTGGATGAACCTTGAGGTAAGCCAATTTGTATGGCAACTTGATCCGACTTGATTCTCCTGAAACATGGTTTGAAGCAAATGTTGCCCACAAGCTACAGAGCTGGTTCCGTCCCAAACTCAAAATCGTCTAAGCCGCAGCCATGCTGCTGTGCCGTCGCGCAGCCACGGTGCGTGCACCGGTCGGCAGAGCGAGCTTTTGGGAGCCATTTTTCCAATTTGAGGAATAATTTGTACCCCTGGGATTCTTTTCCATTGGTGACCCCAGAAAGAACTTATTTGACTAGTGTACACGAAAGGAGTGTGGACAGCTCAGACTTGTTGCACACGGTGTGCCACATGGGCCACAAGTCTTCGCCGTGCGTGTCTTTTCTCAAACCAACGGCTTCATTTAGAGTCAGACCTCGTCAACGTTCATCTTGCAGACCTTGCTCTCAGCCTTTCTTCTCGCGAGGAAACCTTGCCGAAGCTGGGAACCGAATATGCCGCACGGCGACGCATTCGGTGGAGAGATGTGGAGAGGGAATTGTCCGGCAGTGCCTCTGGATGTTTGCAGGCTACAGCGAGATTGGCCAGGAACATAATTGGCCACCAATGCACTTGAGGATTGAGGATGAAGTATATTCCCGGGACGGTTACGGTTACAGCACCAAAAATTCAGGAATCAAGAGCATATCAAGAGCAAACACAAGTGGTATGGAGTGGCACACTTCCCGGAAATGATCTTCGTAAGGTGGAGAACGCACTCTTACTAACAAAGGTGGTGCCATCCATGAAACCATGGAACCATCCGGGGAGTGTGGAAGCCATTTGTGGAAGCAATTGTTTTTACATTTGTAACTTTTTTTTGCATGTAAACAAAATGCATTGTGAATCTCTGATGGCTGCATGCATTCCAGGGATTTGGGCTCAAAGAAACTGGGAACAATATGACATTATAGGACGCCCAATTGTTATTATACAAACAAAGAATCATCACTTGAAATGTTCGCTGTTGTTTTGTTTGTTTGCTTTTGTTTTTGTTTGGGTTTTTGGTTGAAAAGAATGGATGCTTTGGGAAGGTGGACCTCCTCTTGATCCACACACCCTGCCTGGAGCGCAGCGACTTCCCCAACAAGTGCGGCTCGAAGCTTCGCCACTCGAGTCGAAGCAGAGCTCAGGACCCCCGCAGTTGGGGTGGTTAATGGACACCCCCTTAACCGCCTTAAGCTCCATGGGGCCGCCTTAATGAACACCCGGAATCCGTGGTGCTGCCGTGGGTCCTTTCGCTCCGGTTGTTGGCTGTGGGTCGTGGCCCATCATGGGTCATGCATGGGGAGACAATTCTGGGGGTCCAGGTTTCGAGCCGCAGCCACACCCCATATGTTTCCCGAGGGATCTACGTGAATGTGGCACTTGGTATGCCCATTCAATGCTCAAATTTGGGCAGACCGTTGCAGACCAATGTAATTCCAAGCAGCCAGAACAGTGTCAACCCGAGTTTCTTGTTAACTCCGAAGCAGATTTGGGTGTATGCAACTGGACCCGGCTCCCTCATCCTGCAGGTGGGAAGAAAACCTCAAAGCTCCGAAATACCCTCAAAATCCATGAAGATCCTGACCCAAGCATATTGCTCCAACATGCGTTCCCTCCATCGTGTAACACACCCTCCCCCCCCCAAAAAAACATCCGACCATACAACACCAATCCGGACCATCCGTCATCACCACTCCGACCAATGCAACTGCCCGTAGGTGCAGAGCGCCTGGACACCTACCGCGGCCTTATGGAGCTCCGTGCCGCCGGGAAGATCCGCGCCATCGGCGAAACTCGCTCGCAACTGAGGTGGAACATGGTGGGGGTACGAACTGGATCCAGGGAGATATACAGGGCAAGTGTGGAGTGGTGTTGCGATTTTGATGACTTTTTTGGGGGGACATTTGCAAGATCCTCGGCCAACATCAACTAACTAGTGACAGCTGGAAGTGACTCTTTCAGGGAGTTGGATGTGTGTGTGTGTGTGTGTGTCTTCAAAGTGTGTTGATTTGCTGTTTTATTTTCCCGTTGGTTTGGTCAAAGAAGGATCCCTTCGTCGTCCACGCACACTTGAGTAAATCACGGGGCTAGGAGTTCAGCAGATACTATGATCCTTGCAGGTTGTAGACTTGCCCTTCCCTGAGAGGGGTTACATACCACCTGGGCAATGTACATATCAACCCACGGCCCCATGCTGCCGTGCCGTTTGTCTTTTCGAAGAACATGACCAGAGCAGGTCAGCAACTATTTGGCCGAGCAGGTCGAAGAAGCCTCCTGCCAGCATGACATGGCCGTGATTCCAGGAGTGTAGTGGATCGCCCACAGAAATGCCCGAACAATCCCCAGACACTCCATGGGACTGCCATACAGGCTGATCAGTTGGGGTGGTTTTGGGGGTCAATGTAGGCATATGTAGGCATATATGGCATACATGGAGTGCTTGGGATTGAGGATTCGGGATTGAGGTTGAGCATCAATCAATGAGGATCATGTCCGGTTCTATACCCATCAAAACCGTTTGGCACCTGTTCCTACGAGCTGGCCTGGGTTTAGCCCTGGCACACGGAGAACAGATCACGCATGATGGAGTCATGTGAATCAGCAACGAACCAGGTTGTGGCAGAGTTGAAGGAGGCTCCGGCAGTGAACCAGGCACGCCGCCCCTTTTTTGGCCGCGTCCGAGGGTGACGGTGCGAAAGAAGCTGGCTGCCTGCACAACACTAGCAGTCACTAGCACCAGCAACATTGCCAATATCATCACCAGCACACCTATATCACCGCTTGTTCTCAGCACGTGTTCAAAATCTGGGCAGGTGGAGTGGCACTTGGCTTATCACAACGAGACCTTGCGGCAACGCATGGAGTCTTCGTCCGTGCGCCTTGAAGCCTGGGCGTCTTTGGCAGGTCCTACGGGGCAAGGGTGGCTCGGACGTGGAACGATGGAACGGCCATCCATGTAACCATGTGATGTGTGAGTCAGAGTGTGCTCTCAAGTCTGACCATTCTGACCATGTCTCGTTGACAGCCGAGCTGTGAGCCCAGGAGCCCTAGCATTTCTTTGGCAGATGAGAGGCTCAAGAAAGTTGCAGGCTGGGCGGCTGGGGCATGGGATGTGTCTGGCATCCGGATGGATTTCTTTAGTATGGTCCTGGTGTTGGGCATTTGTTGGAGGCTTGGAGTGTCCAGGTGTAGCAGCGTGCAAATCCGGTGTTTGTGGAGTTGTTGCTAGATTGCAGTTCTCGTCACTCAAGTTCTCAAGTTAGATTGCTCAGCCAGCTAAGTATTCATTGCCCATGGTACCGTTAAAGTATGCTGAAATCAACAAGAATTCAGACATGTCCACCAAGGACTTCGCTTCGTAGGGCTTTCATCCTGAAACCCATCCTTCATCATGTTGTTGCAAACAATATCAGCTCACACGAGCGCGGCAGCCATATGGCGGCCAAACCATCGGCTCTAATTAGTTGAGTTTCTTCCCTAGCTTTGGTGCCTCCAAATGCGCGTTGCGATGGATTCAAGGGTTCAGGGCTTGGATAGGCTTGGGGAGCGCTAGGAGTTTAGCAGGCAACTTGGGATAGCAATTTACTTTGAAGTGACTCACTACGTTTGTTTTTTTGTTGCCTGGTTGGTTGGTTGGTTGGTTGGTTGACTGGTTGCTTGGTTGCTTGCTTGCTTGGTCGATTAACTGCTTGGATTGTTGGTTATATAGTTATATATAACTGGTTGCTGGATTGCTTTCTTTGGGGGAAATGGTTTGACAACATCATGACACATCAAGTGATTGCCTGGATTTTTCACTGACTGGGCATAGGGGGCCGCCCTCCTCCAGGGCGCTACAACATGAGCACAGCTCAGCTGGAACTGCGCTGGGAAACTCTGCGCGGCGTCGTCCCCGTGACCGCCACTTGCTCCCGGGAGCACGCGGCACCCTGGCAGATTCGGAGGGATGGATTCATCGAAAGGCAAGATGGGGCGAGGAAGGCCGAAGAAAGACACCGAAGGCGAGAGGACGCTAAACCGTTGACTCCTTTTTGGGGGGGGCCCCGCAGCTGAGGCATGTCCATGGCAATTCTCAACGGCCCTTGGAGTGCTCCAAGCCCCCTCAAAATCCCTTAAGCCATAGCTACTTCTACTGTGTTCATGTGTTTTCTCTCCTGTACATCGAAGTTGTTCACGACCCGTTTGGCCGTATTTGGTTCATCCATGTTCATCCCATGTTTGCCAGCTTATGGGGTTAGACGATCGACCCCCAGCGGCGTAAGCGACCCAGGTTGGTGACATGAACTCCTTTAACTTCAACCTGTCCAACGAGGAGTCCGGAGCATTCATTCTCTGTGGTGACTGTCCTGCCCGATCAAAAGGGGTCTTCGGTGTTTGACATGTGTTTTTCCAGTCTAGCCAGGTGTACCATTGTTTGAGGTCGGGTCCTTCCGATTTGGGTGCAACCCAGAGGGGACAGCCCTGTGGACAGGCAGGGAGAGGTCCAGTGATGTCCGGCATCAAGATCGAACATGGTTTTCAAGGGGTCTAAAGGCGAAGATGTCTAACGAAAAAACAGCTAGAACTCGCAGGGAGGGTCAGAAGAGCGTCATCTTGTTGGATAGACTTGGCACTTGCAGAAAACTAGTTATATACATCGTATTACATCCCAAAAGTACAGCCATCAACAGCCTAGTAAGTCAAAGCGCCGATGTTTTCCTGACAGCCAACCACTATCCTGACCCCGGTGCTGGACCGCTCTTCCATCTCCGCTGGTCCTGTCGCAGGACCTGGATTACTTGGATAGCCTGCCGGCGCTCATGGAGACATCCTTGCTGCTTTGAGCGACCAACGGGGCACGGCGCAATACGGCGCACGTGCCGGAACCCAAAAGTGGCACTGCGCAGGCTTTCGGTGATATTTGTTGTGGCGGCACCGGGCGGTTGTCCAGCAATGTCCAGCACCATTTTATGTTGATTTCATGCGTTCATTGGCCAAGCTTTCGGGCCGCCTGGATATTCTCCTAAAAGAATCCCAAAGATACTCGCAAATCAAACACTCCAACTGCAAAATTTCAGATACTCGTAGACATCCCTTCTTGGTACGTACCGTCCATACCGCACCCTTTTCAGCCATCCACACCTGGCACCAGATCTCCTGCCCGTGCCCAGGTCTCCCCCGAGCCGGAGCTCACCTGTTCGCAGCAGGAGCGGTCGCGAGTCCACCGAACGCGGGGAGGCACATCGACCACACGACGACCATACAACGACCATTCAACTGTGGTACACGGTTCCTGGGGGGCTTTCTGGGGGGTGGAGGAGGTTTAGAGAAGGGAATTGATGAAGAGAAGCATGAGGGATATCAAAGAGGTAGGAAGGATACTCAACCTGTAGCGGAACAAACCAATTCAGACTGTTGACTTATGATTCATAAATGTCCAAATTAGGTCGCAAAACATGATAAGGACTGCGCATAAGAGGATGACCTCTGGATGATTGTGTGCTCGTGAATTGGTGAATGTATCCTCAACTTGCCTTCGAGATCAACGAAGATTGCTCGGATTTCTGGTCATTTGATCTGAGTGCCTGGGGGTGCCGTGCTAAAATGCCACTGTTGGGTGATGCAACTAATCTAACTTCTCCCAACCTTCCGTCCTCTCCAGGAGAACATCCCTGAATTCCACAAAGAGAACAGCGCTGACCCTGAAGTGTTCGGCCCTGAGCACTCCGAGCACTCGGCATGCGCCTCAGGCATGCTGGCCTCGGTGCTTTGGTGTGAAGCCAATCGATTTGAAGCCTTTGAGATTCCAACATGTTGTGAGTACGTGTTGTTTTCCTTTTAACCGATCTGTGAGTACGTGGCACGTACGTGGCCGCCCTCCCGGGAGATCCGAGCATCGCATCGCACCCGAGGTCTCCAGGGCGGAAGGCGTGGCTCTTGGAGAAGTCGGGGAAGTGGAATTCGCCCAAGGACGGACATCACCCGACGCCGGGTGAGGCTGCATTTGGACGCCCTGGGCCGACAGGTGAGTGAAGCACGCATTCTTCACATGCTTTGGGGGATCAATGAGAACATACAGTATTATAGTCAGTGTATATATAGAGATAGTGTTAAGTTTAGTGTTACCATACTGATAGCATATACTCAAAGAGATCAATGACAAGAATCACTAACAACATCCTCGCAAATTATTTCAAGGGGGGTTCAATTGGCCAGTGAGGCTGAAGATCTCCACTGGGATGATGCTGGAAGTTTTGGCATCTCACACTGCCCAAATGTTATACATCAATGAATCACTGATGAGTCTGAAACATACAAGATAAAGGACGCTTTCTTTTTTATGTCGTTGCTTGTTGTTTGTTCGTTGCTGTCGACTCTGTCGACCGTTTCTCACTGATTCGGACGCTCGGGCCAAACAAGCTCTCTCCCGGAATTTTGGACTTTGTTCCTTTTTGTTGGTGTTAACAGTGTTACCTTTGAATTTGTCTTTGTTTTCTGTGCCAACAGTTCCGGCATTGCCCAGTTTTGATCACTTTGTGCAGGTCAAAAGCACGTTTTGGCACATCGAAGACGGCTCGCCAAGAGTCTTTTCAAGTGAGCCCCATAGCGGCTCAAGACCCCACGAAGTTGAGGGGAAGCCGTTGGTTTCGCTTTTTGTTGGAAACCGTTTGAGGCTTTGGTTCTGGACACAAACTGACCTCTTTGCCCAAAGAATCCTTCTGCTGTCAGATGTTTTATGGAATCAGGTCTTGCAATGAGTGTAGTCTGGCTAGGGACCTGCCACTGCCACGTTTTGCGTTTAACGCACGGGACCGCGTGACTCCTGTGGGGCTTCTAGGACGATCTGACAGCTGAGAAGAGCATGGAGAAGAGCGAGATTCATGTGAAGGCCTGGAGAAGGGCACTGTAAAGACCAAGCCACTTGCGTAGATCATTCAGCACCTTAGACCTCAGATGTTTTGTGCAATTCGCTTCTTGAAGCCACTTTGTCTGACTGCATGGCTATGATTCATATGCAGGACACCCTCTCAATCACACATTGATCCTTGATGTGCAACGATGTTTGTTCGTTTTTACCATGGCTTTTGGATGAGCCTCTATTTGCCATGAGCGGCTTGGATGCCCCCTTGCAGTCCCATTCCGAAACTGGCCTATGATGCGTAGGATGTGGCGTAGGGCATGTCAGGGCGAGGCCCTGGCCCAATATGCCAATGTCAGTACAACGTCCAATGTCCTATGCCTATATCATCTATATCATTCTACTCGACTCAACTACCCGCTTTTTCTGGAAGCAACTCTGGCATTCGTCCAACCAGAGAAACTGCCTCCTGGCGCCTCACACACATCGGACGACGAGCCTCGCGCCGGCCGCAAGGCCCGTCCCAACACGATCGCAGGAACATCGCGGGCCTTTTTATAGGCAAGTCGAAGAAATGATCTTGATCTTGCTCATCAATGCTCATCCCATCATTATGAAAAATAATGCCTGTACATTGGCCCCTGACCAACCACTTCTGGCCTGATCGGTCAATATTCCGGTCCCATGGAGTGTTTGGATTCAATTGTCTCGATTCTACCGCGCAAAACCTCGGGCCCCGTCGATTACACTGCCCGCGCCATCGCGCACTGGTAAGCTGGCAGGCCCTTTGCAAGCATAAGTTTGGGGCGCCTGGTGAAGTGGGCATGGAGGGCTGGAGAACATGGTATACGCCTTTTTGGGCGCTTTGACGGAACTGCTCTTTTTCAGAACAAGATAGAACTTACATGAACTTGCAGTAAAATCTAGGATTCAGAGCTGGAGGCTGGAGGACTATATTTCTGGTTTGTGGTGTCTATAATGACCATGGATGCCACAGTCTCCAACCCGCGGACGTTGTCATCAATCCCGGGACGTGCGGCACGTGCAGTGGGACGCCTAGGGCCTAGGCTTGATGGACATCTAGAGTTGCATTATAGCAGTAGTTACACTTGGACACCTTAGGGCACCTTCCTCGCTTGTGTTCGCACTTGATCGCATCTCTTGATCCTAAAGGGATGCTCCATCAACAGAAACAAAATTGACACCGTGAACAGCAAAATCATGCAACATCCTGAAGCACAGAAAAGCGTTTTGGCGGCCTTTTGGTTTCTCATTGCTAGGGGCTACGGGCGGGTTGTGGCACTTGACCTCCCTGCTTCAGCTTTGAACACCCTCAAATGGATCCCATTTGCCATCATCTAAGCATATCTAAGCTATCTACCACAGACATCCACAGACTATAGTTTTCGCATGTCTTCGCATATTGACCGATCTTGTTCTTTTTTGGTGAGAGGAGAGGGGCCTATCTAAGACCCCCGAATAGAGGCCCGTCCAGGTGGTCCGTTCGGCCGCACCAGGTCGCCCAAGCCGTGGCGATATTCCATCTCTACGCAGATGCCGCCTGGCGCAGATGCCATCGGCACATGGGGTGAACTCCGGGGGGAGTCTCTGGGAGGTTGGGAGCTGCGTGCCGAACATGAACCTGGGTTTTGCTTAGGTGAAATGATGGTAATATGATGTCTTACCAAAAAAATCCAATGGTTAAATCTCCTGATGAGTATGTTGTTACTTTGTCCAGGTTCCTTAAGCAAATCCAAGAGAAGGACTTTATGGCTTTTGTGTGTGTCTTTCAGATCAAAGAGAGGAATCCCAAAGTTCTGAACTGGCGTCAGGCGTCCAGTGAAAACTCAGTACGGGAAGGGTGCAACAGTTATTGGAAGCAAATTCCAGTAGTACCAGGTTGGACTTGCTACCCCACTGTTTATCACGAAAGCTAGCCTTAGCTAGCTGGAGTTGCTCTTGCTTTAGCAAGTTAAGTGACGGGGTGGACGCACCTCAGAAACCGCAAATAATTGATTAAATCAATCTTATGGACCCCCCCCCCCCCCCCGCGGTTCGCCCCCCTGCGCGCGGTGAGCGGGACCACCAAGCAGCTGCAGCACACCAAGCAGCTGCAGCGCCCAGCGCAGCAGCGGCAGCAGCAGCACCAGCAGCAGACCACCGGAAGCCCGGCTAGCT